GCCAAGAACGGTGTTTGGAAGTATCTAGGTGACGTGAAGAATTAAAAGAAGAGGGTCGACAAGTAGAAGGTCGAGAAGACCAAGATAAAGTTTCTTCTAAACGTTTACACTTCTCCGTAATATCAGCTATACTAGTGATATCTACAAGGGCCAACTGCTGGTAATAGAATGGCAATAGACATTTCAGGATGATCTTAATCTTTGCAGAATCTGTCAGAGATGTTTCAAGGCGACTACACATACCTAACATATTATTAATGAACATCGTAACAGACTCGTCTGGCTTCTGTTTACGATTTTTAATTTGATCTAAAAGGTCGTCTTGGAAAGAATAAGGTAGAAAATCAGACTTAAGTTTCTGAGCTAGATCAGACCAATTTGAAAAATTATTGCGGTTATTCATAAACCACGTAAAAGAAAATGTAATGCCCCATTTATGAACCTGAACAGGTTTGGGTTGTAGAAATGCATTTGCTGCTTGGACAGAAGAGATTGGAGTTGATGTTGCTATTGGACTCACTCGAGAATCAAGTTCGCCCTCTAGACTTAAGGTTCGGACAGAAACAGAGCGTTGGAAGATTTGTTGTGCCTCATTTGAACAAGATAATAAGTGAACACGACCTGAGATGTGAGCTAGGCGTGATATTAGCTATCTTGGACAAATCCCTCTAAAATCGGCTATCCTTTTCGCCAAATCATCCACAGTCTCTTCAATCTCCTGTTGTTGGACCTCAAAAGGAATATTTGAGGCGGAAATCTGTCGGAAACTCCTGTTTCCTTCTTCCTGCCTTAAAGCTCCACGCAATATTTTGCGTTTCAGATCAACATTGGAAGACTCATCAATGTTGATGTCCCTAATCCTTAACTCATAATCCAATTCCTTTACTAACAAATGTTCTACGTTGAATTCAGACATTATGAAAATAAAAAAAAAGTAGATGAATAGATAGAGTAGACAAAAGAAATAATGTACTAACACTCCACAAAATCAATCGAAGAATAATCTAAAGTTTTCTAAAAAAAAAATATAAATAAATATGTACCAACACACCACAAAATCAATCAAAGAACTAAAGTTATTCAAAAAAAATATATGTATAATTAAGTATTTAAAAGTTTAGGATGTCTATGTAATAAAAGTGTATATGTGTAATGTAACACAAGTATTTGGGGTAATGTAAAAGATAACATATAATTTAAAGCTGGCTAGCAGAAGGTGCCGGAAAGTGACTACTTGACACTCAAAAGAGGATTCGGCCAATTTGCATGCCCTACAGAGACCGTAGAATAATAGAAGAGTAATAAGAAAATGAATGACAAGGTAATAAACAATCTATAGGTATATAACTAAGGTAAATAAAAGTGATTATAGAAGTTGCTCCAAAATGTGAGTGGACGCCAGGAAAGTATTGACATAAACTTTCCAAGGTATCTTGTAAAGTTGTTTGCTGAAATAAAGAGGAAAACTATTAATTGAAATATTTTGTTTTCACCAAAAATTTAATCCCTATCCAAATATATACAGTCTAAATTTACCCTAAAATACCCACCACCAATTATGTACAGTTAATCTAGTTACTTATATACAAAAAGAATATAAATACCCGGGTTACACACAACTGATCCTTGATAATCTGAATTTACAAATAATAAAGTATAAGAATAAATTTAATGACTATGCCTAAAAAGGTAATTTACTTGCCTACTAGAGATGTAACTCGGTATTTCGGCTTTCAATTAAATGTCTTAACAAGTAATAAGGACACTAGCCTGACGGGATAGACGTCCCAAGGGTTAAATATATAATAATAATAAAATAATAAATAACTCTCGGATTAAATGTGTACACATAAAACCGTACAACTGAGTTAAAAGGGAGGATTTAAAACCTCGACCTGTAGTTGACAACTTTAGTGCTTATGTTATTTATAATTATTTAAAAAAAATGACGGGTCTTTATTATTAAATGAAATAGTATGATTTAAGATTGAAAAAAAATATTATAAAAAAATTATTAACAATTAATGAATAAAACAATATAAAAATGAACAATGTTCCACACTCTAAATAAGGGAGGTCTTTCTTGCTGTTTCCCTGAAGTGGTCCGAGAGTAGTCTTAGAGAGATCTGGACCTCTGATGGAACAGCTAAGAGTGACGGGCAAATGTGCAAATTCAAAACGTAATTCTTTTTTTTCTCTTTTAATAAATCCCAAAAAAAAATTATAAATGAAAAAATCCTTGACTCTGGATTTAACTTCTTAAGTAGGCTAAAAAGAACAATTGTGTTATAGTTCCTCCTTACGCTTAATAAAAAGTTGCTTAATAAAAAATTACAAAAAAGTTGCTGGGAAGCTTGTATCAAAGAAAAAAGCTGTAATGATTTTTTAGATAATGTGACCTTCGCATGGTTTGACAATATGTGATGTAAAATAGATTGATCAAATAGATAATTTTAACGAAAAGCTTGCTACGGATATATTTTTGAATATAAAAGAACGGTATGAGGTAGAATATTTTTACAGATAGTCTTAATAGTTAATAGACAGTGTTAAAGATGGATAATTATATGTTTTTTAAGGCAGGGAAATAAAATAGAAAATTGATATGATTTTATATCATTACTATATCTAAATCCAGAATGTTTCTTAATGAAATAATGTGAGAAATGACAGATAGATATTACACTATCGAAGGAAAAATGACGATATTATAGAAGTTAAAATGGCTGATGGTTTTTCCACTTTTTATTTATAATTGAACCAACTTACCTGCTAAAAGTGTCTATAAATCAAAGGGTATACACCACGAAACAACTAAAACCTTTCCATATTTTTCATTCTCCAAAAAAAATTAATATTCTTAAAACAAATTTACCCTTCACCTGCCGCCTATCCCTTTTCAGTTAAACGAACTTGTCTTCCAAAAAGTTAAAACCAGAATAAGCGCTAATTGCTAGCCGGATAATCATGTCGCCCTACAGCGCCGTAGTTGTCTCTGTTTAATACCAACTTAGAAATTCAAAATGAAGAAAATCATTAAGAGGATTTGGATTTTAAAATTTTATTTAAAAATGTTTAAAGGACTATTGAAGTGACGGACTCATTACAAATGCAACATATCATAGCAGGAAATTAAATAAAATTCCCACTTCAAGCGATACTAAAATATCAATACAGAATTACTTATATGTCAAAGATATTTATTTTTACATAAATAATACTAAAAAGGATTTATTGGACATTTTAAAAAGTTTCGCATTGAAAAAATAATACTTTTGTGATAATTATGCCGAAAATATGAGTCATACGATTTTAAGACTTCCGTCATATTACTGTGTATCTAACCCAATAGAACGTATGTGGCATTAACTTAAGTCAAGAGTTCGAAGAAATAATACTTCTCCACATTTAAATGCATCCGTCCTGCATCCAATTGAAAGGGAAGTACTCAACATTGATGCGAATAGTTGGAAAATGCAGTCTCACATATCATGAAGCTGAGAATTCATATTTTCCTACACATAATATACAACTGGCCAGTCAATTTCATAATGATTTTTTTGGACTATAACTTATCACTAACTTGGGGGAGTAATGTGTATGTAGTGTCTGGGTTGAGTAAATGTCTTGATACTGTAGTAAAGTCGACTTCATTATCTTTACAAAGAGACGCTAATTGTATCCGAACATCTGCGGTCCCTCTGGTGAGCACCGATTTACTCATTTTAAAAGGTTCATATTTATTCATGTTGACTTGTTATGTTTAAGTTTTCCGTTTCATGTCTGAAACAGTTGGGAAAAAATGGGAAATTTTTTTATTAATAATTTCATGAAAAAAAAATTATTTTCATTAAAGGTTATGCATCACATAGAAAGCATTAATCGGTACTCTTATAAAATATTACGTGGTAGGTAGGGAAAATTATTAATTAATACTGAAGAGGAAAGTGATTTTAAATTTAGATATGCAAGAAAATGTAATTTTAAAATGTTTGTAGGTATTAAAAATTATGTCCAAGTTTAGATTCATGGCCTTCTAAAAATAAAATAATGCATTTAAAGTAAAAAGTAAATAAAAATAATACTTTTGCATTTGTTGATTTTCTATATTGAATAAGGTAAATTAGAAATGAAATTAAAAGTTAATGCACCTACTGACACATTAAAGGAACATGAATCTAAATTTAAATATAATTTTTAATTCCTACAACCAAATTAAAATGACATTTTGTTCTGTACCTAAATTTAAAACCACTTCAGTTTTAAGCATACATCAATATTTTTGATTTTTGCTGTATACCATTTAAAATTTTATAAATGTGATTATCGATTTCTATGCAATGCAGAAATTTTTATGAAGAATAGTTTTTTTCATGAAATTAATAATAAAGAAATTTCCCATTTATTGCCAACTTTTTCAGACATAGTTTATACCTTATTAAGAATTGAAAAACTTCTTCCTTTGCATGGAATATAAAATATAATCATATTCGGCTATATGTATATACCTACATTAATTCATTTCAGTTTATGTATTTTTCCTTTAATTATCTAGATATTTATTTAAATTAAATATGTAATGTAAAAGCCAAATAAAATATAAAATTGGTTAAGCCGACCCTTTAAGAAGCAAATCCCTTTATGGCTTCGACTTTATCAGCGGGATACTTTTAAATTCTGCTAAGTCAGTTCTTATAATTGTGAATGAACTTTACATTGTATTTCTAGCATACTATTTGTCTTAGTTCCTCAAATCTGCTATAGTTACAAAATAATCTTTGTGAAAGTAAATTTTATTCATTGTTTAAGGGAGTAATACAATATTTTACAGTTTCAAATATAAAATATTCTTCTGAAATATTGCAACGCCACTGCATAGCTGTGTCTATTATCTACGCGATAATATATTTAGTGGAACTGCTCGCCACTATATTTGAAACTAGCTGTACACATTTTACATTTTGTCTTAAAAATTTTATAATAAAGTGTTGTGCTTTTAGGTCGGAGGGAAAAGATCAAAATCTTCATCGTCGTCAGAAAAAGATGAAAATAAGAGTGCTTTGACCGATTATGAAGATGCCGTTTCTAATTTCGATCCGTCTGAAGTTCCTGAAGGAACCCTTAAAGAAGAAGCTCCTGTCATGAATGCAACTATGGTAGTTGAAAAGCCTAAAGTTGTTAAGCAGATCGCAGGTTAGTTTGTTGTTACTTTGTTTTCTTTTGTTTATATGATACGTTAGATGAAGAAAGCCCTTTAAGGATCAAGGTTTGTGCATAAATGATTAATTATATAAAAAAAGTGTGATTGAACAGAAGTGAAATCTTTTATAGACAAGCCTGGAAAATATATTTTATATTGAAAAAATATTTATTTATTGCTTGCACCAAGAGGAATCTAGGCACCAAGTTACACGACTTTAGTAATTTTAGTCGGTGGTGTTTACATACCTCCACAATCACCTCGCGAAGTATACAACTGGCATTGTCAAACTGTGGAAAATGTTTTTCTCAGCACAGGATATCTATATTTTTAGTGATTACAATCTTCCCAATGCATCATGGGAGAATGATGAGTTTGGTGTAATGGTGTATTGTCCTGCAGGTGATCCAGCTGTGAATATTGATCAAGCCTTTGGTTTTTTTTAAATTGTATCGACATAATAATATTCCCAATAATCGTAATGTATTTTTGGATTTAGTTTTTTCTAATGTTAGAGAGCAAGTGATCCCCTTGTAAACCCTAGCATCCGTCATGTGGGTTATGAATGTTGCAAAAACCTCGATGTGAACGAAACAAAAAGAAATATGTTGGTTTATGATGAGTTGTTTTATGATTTTCGGAATGGCGATTACATTGCGCTTAACAACTTCCTTGCTTCCATAAACTGTCAGATATGTATGGTTAATGATGTTGAAGTTGCTACAAAATTATTCTATGAAATTTTCTCTATAAGAATTGCTTACTTTGGGCCATTAAAGAAATATAGAACTTTAACTTTTCCCAAGTGGTTCTCTGCTGATCTTAGGAGACTGACTCTGGAGAAAAAATATGCTCACTATATTTATGTTAATAATCGTTCTGATGATGACTATATTAGATTTCCCTACATAAGAGACGAATTTACACAATTTAACAACAATCTTTACATACCTATCCATCCATTAAATAGCAACTTTAGTATAAATATTTTTCCTTCTAAGATTACCATGACCTATATTTTTAATGGCATAAATGAGTTGCCCAATAAACTTACTACTGGTCCAGATGGAGTACCTAATTTTTTATTAAAAAAGTATATCTGTACCCTTGTAATACCATTTAAAATACATACATAGAAAGAAAGTTATGCTGTTCCTATATTTAAAAATGGCCAGAAAGACAATATTGAAAATTATCGTAGCATTTGTATACAATCTGCAGTTCCTAAGGTATTCGACAGTCTTAAAGCAAAGCAACTTTTTTGGTTATGTAAAGGCTTAATATCTCAATCACAACATGGTTTTCATAGCAAAAAATACACAGCAACACACGTGGTTTGCTATCAATCTGATATATTATCTCATATGGAAGACCGTAAACAGGTAGATGCAATATAAACATATTTTTCCAAATCATTTGATCGTGTAGATTACCAAATACTTTTGGACAAATTAATTAATGTAGGTTAGGTTTTCATGTCAGGTCTGTATTGTACTAAACACTCTACATCTGGCAGAAGTCAAAGAGTCAAGATAGGTTTGTCATCCGTCTGAAAGTATTACAGTAACATCTGGAGTTCCTCAAGGAGACCATACTTCTCCAGTTCTTTTTAACATCCTCGTTAACGACATCACTTCCTGTTTTCTAAATAGCAAATGTCTTATGTTGACAGATAACTTGAAATTTTGGAAAGTTATAGATAGCTTAAAAGATCAAACCTTGGTACAAGATGACTTAGATCGACTATAAAATTGGTGCCATCTGAACAAACTCCACTTAAATGTAAAAATGTTGTTTTATAAGTTTTTCTCGTAAAATCAATAAAATTGGAACAAGCTAGACTATTAATAATCAGATGAGAAGCTTACTTTCTGTGACCGCATAAACCCTATTTCAATAAAAGCATGTAAACTTCTTGGTTTCGTTACTAGGAATTGCAAGTATTTCTCCATTAATTCAACAAGATTAATGTATTGTTACTTAATTAGAACTATTTTGGAATACTGTTTAGTTATTTGGTCACCCGATTTTCAGAACAATATTGATACCATAGAAAGAGTCCAGCATAAATTTTTGAGATATTGTTCTTACCATGTCCACACTACTATTGAAAATCATGATTATTCTCGTATCGAACAACAATTATCTTTACCCTCACTCAAGAACCATCGTGATATGTCAGGAGCTATATTTATATATAAGATCATACATGGATTTATTAATTGTCCAAACCTGTTAAGCCAGATTAACTTTAATGTTCTCATCAAGCTCTACGTTACCACAATGTTTTCAATATTCCTTTCCACAGAACAACGTATGGTATTCACAACCCATTGGATAGATACATGGGGCTATTAATTGTTGGTCATTTTGATATTTTCAATATAACTTTGACTAAGTTAAAAATATCTCTTGCTTTGTGTTATGTATATTGCGATCGTTGAATTTTGTTCTTGATTTTTTATTATAAGTAATTCCAAGTTTTGAATCCTAACTGTAATATTGTATATTGTAATTTAAACTGTTGAAGTTCTTTCGACACTGCGACCAGTAAGATCTTTTGTATATTCAGTCCAATAAATCTAGGCTTCTAACAAAGGACTGATTTGTTACCTGATCTAAAAAGACCTGTTCAACGTATTTGGGAAACAACTGGCCTAGACAAACTTTACGAACTGTTCCAGCTCCTCATGTAGTGAGTTGTACATGGAGGTTGAACTCTTTTGTTGTACATAGTCCATCAGAATATTTCCTTAGTCAATACGTTTAATCATTTTGAAGTTACGTTAAAGGTACCTATTTTGAACTACTATTAAATCGTTTACTCCACAACCTTAAACTACGTATTATTTTACATCGTCCGAGAAGTAAGGACATAGGGCATTCGAAGTATACATTGGTCCTTCGAGACGGATTCCTTCGATTGCTGAAGATATTTGCAAATTGAGATTCTCCACTATTTTCGCCCTCTTTTGACTTCTAGACCGCGTTTCGACTTCATGCTGTGAAGCTATGTGAAGTAGTTCATCTGCTATTTCCTGAACGTAGATTATGACAAGACAATGCACAAGGTACATCTATTGCGCATCGAATTGATAGAGAAATCTGTGATTCGTCTTAGAAGGAGAGTATGTTGATAAATAAGATCAGATTTTGCCTAGACTGTTCTTTCACTACTTAAGGACTCTGATTGAAAAGTAAAATATTTTATTATTTTATTAGGGTATACCGAAAACTAGGGGAGATATAAAAAAGTAGTTAGGATATCATGACTTATTTCGATTATTGTCGATTATTGAAAAATGTCGAAAACTACAAGATTTTTTTAAAATATAATTAGAACTTTTGATAGAAATGGTTGAGTTTACCAAAAGTATAAGCTGAATATAGCCGCAAAAGTCAACCAAGAATTAAAATATTTCGGTTTGACAGTGTTGGGATGTTTTTAGAATGCATCTGTTGTATACTTCAAATATATAGAGAGAAAGCTTTTAAAAAGTACATATCGATTATTAGTGCAGTTACTGAGGTTTTTTACCTCCGAATTCTTTATAACTGAATCGATTCATTTGAAATTTTGTGTGTTGGTAAATAATTACTCAAGGGATAAGAGTTATATAGTGCCGATGTGCGCTTCCACCCTGGGGGTGTTTGCCACCCCTTTTCGAGGGTGTAAATTTTTTCACTCAAAATAACCACGCTATGCGATAGAAGGACAAATTTCAAACAAAAAATGTAGTAAACATTTTTTCGCTAGATCAATACTTTTTGAAAAGTGTCATTTTTCGTTAAAAAAAAAACATGTTTTTCAAAGGTTTTTTAAGAATAGCTCTGAAACTAAGAGTTTTATAAAAAAAGAGTTTTTAAAAAAAAGTGTAACGACTAAAATTAAAGCTCATAAAAAAACAAAAATATTGGCTTTTTAATGAATATTTTCAGTTCAATATTAACTGAGTTCTGGCTGTTCAAAGAAGATTTGTTTTTGTTTTTGTCTTTCAATACGAGTATTTAACGTTAAATAACGGAAAACGGGTACATTTTTCGACAAAAACTCATATAATATTTTTAAAAGAGCCTGAAAGGACCTTTAAAATGAGTGTTGGTAAAAGTCCTTTGCACCAACTGTACGTGAGATACGATCAAAAAAACGATGGGTTTCTCAAATTTTTGTAAAAAAAAACCAAAATAAAACTAACGTCATGTTCACTAGGATTGAAATAAATTGTTTTCCTTATAGAATTCACTTTATTTTAGTGTTTTTTGTATGATCAAAAAGTTTAGCCACTTTAGAATACCCAGTTTTTGAAAATAGTATGATTACATTTTTTTTGTAAATATTAAAAAAAATCTTTCTTTTATAATAACTTCAAAACCATAATAAAAGATACGTAAAAGATGACACAATACAAAAAATAGGTTTTTTTGAAGCGCGCGCTGGCCAATCATGTGGCTGCGTCGTGGTAGCGGGACCGGACGGCGGCTCTACACTGAGAATCCAGATGGGAGACAAGTAGTATCCTTCCTCTCGATTGATATTATGTGGATTTTTTCGGATCTCTAGAGATTCGCGGATTTTCCTGGAATAAAAGAAGGGGCTCTTAGAAATAATATGGGTTTTTTCGAACAATATGGAATGACCGGTTTCTTGGCAGTGTTCTGCAACTGCAGAATGGGAGAAAAGACCTGATCGAATGCATCTTTGATGCTCTTGAATCCGAGTTTTGACGGAACGACCAGTTTCGCCAATATACACATGTCCACATGAACAAGGAATAGAATAGACACCACAGGAAGATAGGGGCGGTAAGGATTCAAGAGCATCAAAGATGCATTCGATCAGGTCTTTTCTCCCATTCTGCAGTTGCAGAACACTGCCAAGAAACCGGTCATTCCATATTGTTCGAAAAAACCCATATTATTTCTAAGAGCCCCTTCTTTTATTCCAGTAAAATCCGCGAATCTCTAGAGATCCGAAAAAATCCACATAATATCAATCGAGAGGAAGGATACTACTTGTCTCCCATCTGGAATCTCAGTCTAGAGCCGCCGTCCGGTCCCGCTTTTTCTTAAAACTTAATTTTTCAAATAACTTTCTCTTGACCATATTGTCGATTGCTTTGTAAATTTATTTATTATGTTTCAAAAACACTTACTTGTATGATAATAAATTCAATAGTACTCTATTACAATAGAAACAGAAATGACTAAACTTGTAAAATGCCAGCAAGACACGGGTATCTCGCCGGTTTGTCCCTTCTCAAAAAATATCCAGCGACCCACCCAACTACCGCTGAAAATTGTACCTGTCTCCCACGCCCAAGCGATCCACGGGTGCATCGCAAGCTTATTACACCAGGGCGGCGCGGCATACCGGTGGATCGCTGTATTTTTTATGGTTTACGATATTGTATTTCACTAACGAATTTTTTTCTGATACTACTATTGACACAAAGAATTCAAATACGCAAAAAAACCTCTCCGGCCTGACGGAAAGAAATATCGTAAATTGCAAGGTTCTAGTAGGAAAAACTTCTAACATGACGATCCGTCTTGAACGTGTTAATTAGTAATAGTGGTTTTGTAAATATTATCTAGTTATTAAATATGTAGTATCGATTGATTACGCTTTATGTTTCTCAAGTCTAACCTTATTAAACCAAACATAAGGAATCATCGCCATGAAGTCTTCTTACATATATCGAAGGAAACTCTTTAACAGTCCATGGCCCTAAAATATTTGGTACCCACTGGGGAAAGGAATTTAATAAGCTTTCCCCCAACAATTGGTGGAAGTCAAGCAAAGTTCCATCAATAGTGAAGGTAATATTTAGTGATGAAGCTCGCATATCCAGTGCAGGAATATTTAACTGAAACAATGAACTATATTGGAATGACTTAAATCCTCACTTAGTTCAGGGGATCAGGAGGTATGAGAAATTCGGTTTTAACGGTTTAGTATTTTGGTAAGCATAATAATTAGTTAATCTTGTATTTGATGATAAACTAACTGCTGCCGGATATATAGGTATCTTAAAAACGAATTTAAATAACATTTTTAATGAGAAATACATATATGGCTGAGAGGAATACATTTTTGTTTTAACAAGATGGAGCACCTGCCCTTAATGCCGAATTCGTTGGAAATTATTTAAATTTCATAATCGGTAGATTGTAACTTATGGTTCTTGTTCACTAGAACTAAATTTTCCAAATTTTTTTATCTGGCGATTAAAAAAAAACAGTATTCATAAAACTGGCTGTAATACTAAGGAAGAATACTTTCAAAGCATTCATCAAGCATTTAGAAAAATAAAGACAATGCTTATACTCAATTGAGTAAGATGTGTAAGAAAAAGGTGTCAATTATTATTATTACAAAACGGGGCATTTTGAATATTTATAATTTTTAAATTTTTATAAAATAAATTCTAGTTTCTCCTTTCTGCATTATTGTTGTTTTTATGTTTATTATAATGTTAATATTTTCGTAAAATTAATTCTGATTGTTAAGTAGTTTTTTGTTGCTGGTAGATGTATTATTTCCATTTTTTAAGTCGATTGATCTTATTTCTGGTAAATCAAACTGTGAAGGATTATTATCCCCATAATAAAATGTTAGAATGTGTTACCGGGGGTTTGGTTTTAAGTGTCTATAACGTGATGTCAAATAAAGAATTTATTTGCAGAGTAGCTCCGACTGGAGAATTAAAAATGCAAAAGAAAAATGTCAAAATATATAGGGTGTCCCATATAAAAAAAACATAAGTTGGTATTATATTTCCGTAGTGAGACCCCCTAAAAAATTTCTCGTACGCTACAGAACGCTTCCATAAAGGCCCGTTTTCACGCTACGTCTTTTTGTACGTTTTGTTGGATAGGACAAATCCTATACAATAAAACGTGGCATGTAAACAGCAAAACGTACGTCTTGTCGAATCGAAATGAAATCCAAGGTCAGATTGTAGAAATGATGGAAGAAGCTTAGTTTTGCGAGAACTGATGATAGGATAAAACGTTACGTGTAAATACTTGTTCAGACAAGTCGTCCGATCTTGACTTACTTAAATTCCACCGAATTTTATATTTAAATAGAAATTTTTACTTATTCTTAAATTTGAGAAGAAATATGTAAGTGACAAAACAATTTTTCTTGCAATACCTGTAATTTGCATTGAGCATTTTTGTGTATTCATGAAAACGTGTGAAAACATTCAAAAATTTATTCTTAAATGATACCTAAGCGGTACTTTACAAAGTACATGATGCCATAAAAGCTAATAATACAATAAGAAATGAATCCTGAGTTGTCCATTCGCAAATAATTGCGCCGGTCATCTGGTTCGCCTCTCAGTTCTTTTAGTAACGAGACGTGGGAATACTGGCGTCTTTTCAGAAGCCACTCTCTTAACCATCTTGTCTTTTCCCTCTTCATCCTCTTTTTCCTCAGTCGTAGTATCGTTATAGTTAAAAAAATAAAAGAAAGCAGCCGTGTTTCCTCCAACAAACTTCACACAACTCAAGACTCTAAATTAGGAATGAGGTAGAAAACGGAAGGAAAAACGTAGTGTGTATACACTGGACAAAACGTACATTTTGTCGTACGTTTTATATGACCCACAAAACGTACAATAAGACGTAGCGTGAAAACGGGACTTAATATATCCATCAAAAGTTTTTCTCAAGTTTCAAAAATTTTTTTAATACAGAAGATATTTATTAACTCTGTCGTTTTCGACATTTTTCAATAATCGCCCTGTATCTCGTTAATATGGGAAGCGACTGATGATTTGATTAGGTAATCGTTACTTTAACGAAAAAAGAAGTCATGATATCTTAATACTACTTTTTTTCTATCTAGTTTTTGGTATAACCTGTAAAACATACCAATTTGGGACATCCTGTGCAACGTCGTTTCGTTCCCTTGTTTAAATATCTTTTATCATTTTAGATAAACATGAAACAGAAAATTATAGAACTCCGCCACCATCTAAGAAAGGACAAATAAAGGAAATTTTCAGCCCATACGATAAAACTTCTATTAAAACGAAAGTGGAAGCGTTTGAAAAGCTTGGAAGCTCATCAAACATTTTGTAAGTATATCTTAAAAAGACCTATTGTAATTCCATATGGGAATTATAATTATAAATATTTTTAGGGAAAGTATGTCGAAAATTCCAATAATGCAAGATTCAAACAGCGATCCAGTAAAAAGTAAACAGTATACACCATTCACGAACAAATTTATGCCGAAAACTACTAGTACGTCTTTGAAGATAAATAGATTCGTTTCTTCTAATTCTGTGACTAAGGACAACAGTGTATCGATGAAATCTTTGAGCGCGCTTAAAGCTTCACAGGCAGAGTATCGTGAGTTGGAGAAAAGAAGACAAGAGAAAGAGAAAGAAGCACAGTTAAAGAAGGAAGCTCTGCTTCTGGCTCAAGCTGAAGAGAAAAGGCGAAAAAGGGAGGAAAAACAGTTAAAGGTAAACATTTTTTACTACTTCTGACCATATTTCACCCATTTAATATATTTTTAGGCACAGCAACAACGTGAGATAATTCAAAAGGAACGGGAAAAGCAATTGGAGATTCAAAAAGCAAAAGAAGAGAAATATAAACAGGCAGTGGCGGAAAAAGAAGAAAAGTTGCAGAAAATTAAAGAAGAAGCTGAGAAAAAACGCCTGTTGGCTAAGCATAAAGCTAAAGTAGCCAAGGAATCACAGTCAGCGTATGTATAACAAAAAACAATATTTATTTAAATGTGCGAGCTGTATAATTCTCATTTTCTGTTTAATACCGTAAAATTGATACTCCTGCAAAAGTATATTAACCTTAAAATTTAGTATTTTGAAACACAATAAATGGACTACCTAAGCTCTGACGTCACAATGGGCGGGGTTTTAAAAAACTTTCCAAACGTTTTTACAAAGAATATAGACGCTTATAGAAGAATTTTTCACTTCCCGTTTTGCTAGTTGAGAAAGGTTGAACCGAGTTGATCGCACGTTACAAAAAAGAAGGGAGGTGGATCGAGATGGATCGAGGTTTCACTAGGGAGCGTTCATGTCAGCGCTGTTATTGCTTCTAAAATATGAAAGAGTGGGGCAACAAATGCAACTTAGATATTTTTATGAGATGCCGCGTGGTCGTAGAAGAGGATTAAATTTTTGCATTTTATAAAAATTTTTAAAGAAAAGAATATATTTTATTATTATTATTATTTTAACTTTTAATAAATTAATCTTTTTAAAAAAATATGACTCAAATTTTTAATTCAAATATATACAAAAGTATAAATAATATAATTAAAACTCTCTTCTTATAAACTATAAATAAAATTAATTAAGCGTCAATCACCGGGAGTGAAAGCTCAAAAAATTGTAAGGTGTTTCAATAAAAAAACAATTCCTGATCTTGTTAGTACGCTAGAATTGCTTTTTAACACATATACCAAAGAATTATTTTTTACAATTTGAAAATTCGAAATTGTGAAGTATAATTTCGGATTTTTAAATTAAAAAATAAGTAAGTCTCAAATAACTTATCACTAGAGCTCAACAAAGGAAGATAAGAAAATGGCAAAAATTGCAGCTGGGGCATAGATCATAGCAAATCCTTAAACATCCAAATCAGCAACACCCGACGATAAAAAGAGACTTGGGGAGAATAACATCACCCCCTTGTAATAGAGCTAAGAAATCAAAGTGCTCTAACGAGCAGACTAGGTCATAAAGCACCCTGACAAAGTTGTAGCACAGAGATACCATCCTGATACTCAACTAGATTGGGCTCAAGCAAATTTGATCATTAACAAACTAGAGCAAGCACTTGAGGCTCCTATCTAAGGTCAAAATGAACTCCTGCAGTTCCATAAAACATCGTTTAGCAAAGGGACTCTGTGGGTGAACTGTGTTAACGAGTATATAAAAAAATGGACGACTAAAGTGGTGAAGACTATTGAGGGCCTGTGGGAGAAAGTAAACTTAAATATAATTGTTCCAATAATATGCCCAAGTGCCCCATGGTCCTCACCCGCGTCCCCAAGAAAAAGCTTGATGAAGAAACTGTCAGGACCCGTCTAAAGAGGCAAAATCAAGACCTTAACACCGAAGACTTATTGTGATCTCTGTTCCACAGACTGAACGACAGTAAAGATAAAGGTTATAGAGGGAGGAGTTATGAAGGAAATAGTTCTCAGATCAGAATACCTCCCATATGCTATCTATTTCTTTTTCTTCTTCCAGGCGGCTTTCATCTATGAAGTTTTTGGGCCAACGTTCAGGCATTAAGGCATTCTCAATACGTGTCCAAACCATTTTAAACATCTTTTTTTCTATTTTGTTAATGACCGTTTCTGTAGCATTCATGTTATTTCTTATAGATTCGTTAGTCTTCCTTCCAGCCTTGATGTTCTAGCACTTTTTCTCAAATAATCCATTTCAACTGCCAAAAATCTTCTCTTCAGGTCTGCATTAATTGTCTGTACTTCAGAGCCATAACAAAGAACCGACTCAACCATGGTTTGTCCTTTTTATTCCCTTGTTTGTTTTTTTTATTCCTTTGGACTTACTCCCTGATTAAGGGTAACTTGTCTTAGTCCTTTAGTTACTTTCATTGGCTCTGATAGTTTATTTCCGATTTTTATTTAAGTAGTGTTATCCCTCAATACTTCTGTGATTATTCCAAAAAGGTATGGATTAATGCCGAGTTGTTGTAAAGCTTGCCACAATTTAAGTCTTGGAACTGTATCATAGGCCTTTTCTAGATCGATGAAGGCTAGATGTACTTCGGTACCGATCGCTATTCTTCTTTCTATTAATCGTTGGAGTATAAACTCCAATAATTGGTTGGTTGGATATAAGTTATCAGTGCTAGATCTACCAGGCGTAAATCCACTTTGGTCTTCGCCAATTAGATGTTTTACATTATCTTGTATTTTTCCATTTATCTTTCTTTCGAACAATCTCCTGAAAGTAGGTAGGACACGTAATCCTCTGTAGCAGTTAGGATCTTTAGGATTACCCTTTTTAAAGATGGACACTTGGTGACCGGTTTTCCATTCAGATGGTACTTTAATTTGTGGCAGCATTGCTTCATTAGAAAAGTTATTCATTCTATTAGGAGTAGATCTGCTTTAAGAAACTCTACAGCTATATTGGCAGGTCCTGGAGATCGTCCGTTTTAATTAACGCGGTACGGATCTCTTAGTTAGTAATATTAATGTCACTATTTGTTTGTCTCTTCATAATGTATTCTTGTCTTATATTCCAATCTGGACTATTGGAGTAAATTTTTATAGTGATTTTTCCACTTTTCTATAGGAATTAAGTATATATGATTCAGTAAATTTGTACTGTAAAGTGATACTAGTAGGAAAGTTTTGGGGAAGTTCTGATTTTTTCATTCCATATGTGTTTTGGGGTGCTAAATCTGAATCTGAGGTTTGCGGACAAAATTTCGTGACGCAACATTTAAAAAGCCAGAAGAAATCGGTTTTCTTTTGCTTTTTTCCGGTTTTTTGCTTAAATCTCGAAAACTGTTAACTTTTAGGAAATGGTCTGTTTACAGAAATTAAAGTACTGAAAGTTCTGTACAAATGTCACTCTTTTGGTTATTGTACCGACGAACCGTTCGGTCTCAAGTGCAAGCTGAAAATTGGCAATTTGTACCGGTGTGACTGCAAAACCCACTTTTTAGATTTGTATTTGAAGAATTTGTATTGAAAGGTTTTCAGTTAATTTCCCCTAGTATTTAAGTTAATTAAAATAACGACCGAGTCACACAGATAATTCACGTGTTGACTCAAATATTATAGCTAGATTGCAAAAAATCAAAATAACTCAGTTAAAAAGCAGTTAAAGCCGCTTTACATTCCAAACGGCAACAATGTGCTAAACTGTTGTAGACGTTGTAGTATGTGTGTACGTGGATAGCACTTGGTCGGCATTTGGCACCGCACACACACACATACACACTATACGACTACCTACGATACTATCTACTATTCTTACCTTTAAAACGTTTTATTAAAATTTGATATAAAAATAAAGATTTTATTGTGAAAAAAACAGTTTGCAAACCAATGGCATCGAAATTTGTTTAGGTGTAGATCAAAGTTACATAAATAGCTCCGTTCATACTCCTTTCCCACTTCCCCCTAACTACAAATTTCATTTAGCCGTTTTAAGCCGAAGTCGACGGGCGACGGCCACGCCGCCACGCTTTGACTTTATGCAACCACCCTCTTGACGTATAAACCGTAACCAAATCGCCCATTTGAACTGCTCTTCTATAAGCGTCTATATTCTTTGGTTTTTAATTCGTGCGTATTTGACCCATAAGAAGTTAGAAATATTGATTTTTTAATTGTTTGAAAAATAAATAAGGAATTTTGGTTATGAACATTCATTCCATGCCATTGGTATTATTTGTTGTTCGTGAATTTGTGAAATAAGAATGTCAAAGATATTTACTATGAATATTCATATTTTAAGGTTATGTCATTGTATGATTAAAACTTTAATTATTTTTTTACTGTATTTCATGGTATTTTGTTGTTTTTATCAGGTTTATTTCAAAATTAATCATTGAATTTATTTACGAAGTTAAAAAATATTTAAATAATTAATATTTTAATCTTTTTTGGGGAAGATAGTTTGGGATCTACGTTACTCTAAAAACTAAGGCTTCCAGGAATCTGGAAGGGTGTGCAGCCTTAAAGGAGTTAGAAAAATCCGACTGGTTATTAACTGCACTAGTGCGCTGACTCAAGGATCCTAAAGGGACCGGCCAAAGCTCGAATATGGCGCACACTATCAATCGGATACACACTGTACAATTAGCAATCACTATTCGCCAAATCAAAGTACGTGCTCTAAAAAGTGCTCATATTTCTGATCCAACGAATATGGATTCCCAGCTCTACCAACGAGGAGGTTTGTACTAGGATAGTTTTATGTGGTAAGGATGAAACACGACGCTCACCCAAATGCAAATAAAACTGAAGGTCGCTCAACAAGAGATTTAGATAACTCTGTCGCACACTTCAGCCAATTACGTCTGGCGAACGTCAGAGCCTTTGAGTTTGATTTTATCCCCTAAAAGACTAAATATATTCGTTTGTTAGTAGTTTAAATAGTTAATACATAGTAGTTTTGTTGTCATTACTGAAAAGTTCAGTAATACTGAATATCCTCAACACATGTTTACTAGCGATTATATGTCCAAAATAATCGAAATATCGAAAACATAAACACAAAAACTATTACCACATTCAAAAAACATTTTTTTTTCAATACTCATTATGGCAATTTGATAGAAAGGTTTCCACAGAATGTTATATTATAACTTAAACTACGAGAAAACGAATATCTTTAGTATTTAACAGGATAAAAGGGCAATATCACTGGCAACGAAAAAAGAATAAAACACGAATCAAAATATTTTTAAACTTCGTAAATAAATTCAATGATTTATTGATTCATTTTGAAATAACCCTGATAAAAATAGCAACAAAGAACCTTGAAATACGGAAAAAAATAATTACAAGTTTTAATCAAACAATGAACATTCATAGTAAATATCTTAATACTTTGGTATTATTACCTCACAAATTCACGAACAACAAATAATACCAATCGCACAGAATGAATGTTCATAACCAAAAGTCCTTATTTATTCTTTAATCAATTAAAAAACCAATATTTCCAACTCCTTATGGGACAAATACACACACATTAAAAATTTTTGGAAAGGTTTTAAAAATCCCCGCCCATTTTGACGTCAGACTTAAGTAGTATATTCACGTTTGATATTAACACGTTAAATGCCACGTGGTATAATGCGCGTGCCACATTCAATTTTGTTGTTCGGGCCACGTGGCACATATGTTGTTCCCAATTGCAGTCTGGTATTTTGGGGATCGTGGCTTAAACGGTGTGCCACACATGTGTAGTATTTATATTTAAGTTGAAAATATGTGATCCGGAAAGCCAAGTAGTGATTTTGATCCGTGGCACATATGTTGTGCCCAATTGCAGTCTGGTATTTTGGGGATCGTGGCTTACACGGTGTGCCGCACTTGTGTAATATTTATATGGAAGTTGAAAATATGTGACCCGGAAAGCCAAGTAGTTATTTTGATCCGAAAACATATTACACCTACATAGTATATTTTTCTCACTTGAAAAAATACAAATTAATGATATATTCCTTTTTGTAATATTTATTCAAAAAAATATAAAATAAGGTTACTTGAAAAATGTTTGAATACCTAAAGACTAAAACAAAAGCAAACTGAAAACATACTTATAAACACAAGTAGTAATTCTTACATTAACATTTACATTATACCCACGCAAATACAATAAAAAAAATTGAAGATAGAACTGTATGTTTTATACAGCTTTTGTTCGCTGTATTGTAAAGAAACATCGAACACAATAATGTTTTTTACAGAGCATACATTGCCATTTACTTCGCGCACAACATCTCAATATTGTTCAGGAGCTATTTTCTTGTGGCATTGTAAATTAATTACTATTAAACTGGGAATAAGTCAGATTTCCGAAGTGGAAATTAAAACGTCAATAAACGTATTTTTATCTTTTTTAATTGTGGCTTATTCCCAGTTTAATAGTAATTAAAAACATCTCAATCTTGAATTAGTTTGTTCCAAAGCATGATTTTTGATGTTACCTTTGGGCTTATATTCATCTATATCGTATGTTCCAATGCGTAACAATGAATAACAGTTATTCTTTGAAATCGGTTATGGACGATTTTTCTTGTGTAACTTCCTTGTAGACCAAAAGCGTTTACAACTGCAGACCCCAATAATAATTCGATAGCAAGCTTTCTGTACCATTTTGTTCCTATGCGTAGACTGTGAGAATATGCTTTTATTTGGTCAGACAGATCAATGTAAGATTTAGCTCCGTTATAATTGATTATTGCTTCGGGTTTTTCTACTGCACTACCTCTTTGCAATACTTCTTTTGTATTATCTTTATGAAGGGTGCTGAGCATAAGCACATCTGTTTTGTCACGCCATTTCATGACCATAATTCCGGAATCACTTTCTCTGGCATATATTTCTTTTGGTTTTAATTTTTTTTGGACCACCTCTTTAGGTATATATTTTCGGTTGCTACGGAAGGTGCCCACCAGATGCGTCTTTGGTTTTAATAATTTGGTTGTCAAGGAGATACTTGTATAATAATTATCCGTATACAGTTCTCTACCAGAATCTAGAAGATCGTCCATTAGAGCAAACACTACATTCGAAGATGCTTGACTGCCATTTTCGGTATCCAATCCACAATAAACCCGAAGATTATAAATGTACCCTCCTTCCGTACACAACTTGTACAGTTTTATACCGAACTTGTGCCTTTTATTTTTTATGTATTGCCTAAATTGTAGTCGACCACGAAATGGTACCATGGTCTCGTCAATGCACACTTTTTTACCAGGCGTTAACACTTTTTAAAAATTTTTTAAAAGAACTGTAAGGAGGAAACTAATTTTGCGAAGTTTGTCGTCTGCAAAAGCATTTTTATTATTATCGCTAAATTGCCACTTACTTAGCAATAACTCAAAACGGTTCCTCGACAGGGGCTGACGGCTGATTTCATTTTGATATACTAATGATTTTTTTCCAATACGATCGTACCATGGGCAACTTACACAAGCCCATCCATAATAGGATACCAATGAACCTTTCCATTTCCAGATGATCTGTGTCTCTGTGATTTCCAGAGATTTTTGTGTCACTCCTTCCGCCAAACACTGCTCGCCATAGAGATTGGTTTCGTTAGCCATGAGAGTAACCACTTATTAACCATAAGAGTAATTATATAATATTCATAGATTTTAGCTCTAACTCCTCTTTTCCACCAAAGTCAAAATTCTTAAAAGATGATCCGTCAACAAGGTTCCACTGTAAGATATTCAAGTCAATTAGGTCAACTTGATGATTACTTCTATTTTCTGGGTCACTTTCAGCTCTGTACTGTGAAATTACGTATTCAATACCATTATCTACATTTTGTAAATTTGAATGGATAATATCAGACCCTCTTTGTGAGCTAATTGCATTGTAGCATTTACTTCTTGACATAATTTACGTTTTTTTTTGGGACAAAACTGCACTAACATCGCTATTTTCATTTTCCGAGTCACTCGAAGCTTGCGAACTAGGGGAGTAATCATCAGACGAATAAACATCACCTGTTATTACAGAATTACTTTCCTCATCCGACATTAGTTCATCCCACAACTGTAAAATGCGTTTCGGCCCTTTTCCGTGATATCCCATTGCGCGTACACCTTGTTTACATTCACTTACTACACTGCTATTCTCAAAAACTCTGTTCATCTAAGGAGCTAACAACAGACTGGCTTGCACGAGTCGTTTGATTATCGAGATGGTTACTTTGTCCTTGAATACCAGGCAGTGCCATGGCACAACGTATATACCACATGGCCCCGTAGAAGCAATATAAATTCTTTAGGCCACGTGGCACAAACCTTAGGCCACAAAAAATCTTTCAAAATTCACAAAAAAAAAGAAAAAGAAAAAATACCCAAAAATATTCAAATATATTATAAAATTCCTTAGCAAACCTATGTTAAATATGTTTCTAGTTGTCTGTTTATCTAGCCAAAGCCTTGTACAGTTCACTGATTGTTGCTCGACAGGTGAGAGAAGTCGTGTCTTGTCTTAAAGTTACGAGCAACTTGAGGGCGGAGCTTATGACTTGTCACGTTACAATTAGGTAGCTTATTACACTACACAACTTTGTTGTTACGTATACATTGTCTGTTTTGTAACTGTCGTCATCTAAGAAAGACATTGTACTATATTTGATGACCTATATATTAAATCTTTATCGTAGGGAGGAAAAAGCTATGGAAAACGAAAGAAATCTCGATAAGGGAAAAACGAAAAGGGACCTAAACGATTACAAACCTATTTACATGACGACGAGAGCCCCACTTCTTCCCACAGATGACTGTTATGATTCAGATGACGAAGAATATCAGAATAAAAAGTATATTAAACCAAAATGGTGCAGAGGTAAGTGTTACAGCCTTGTTACAAATCGCCAAAATATATTTCTTTATTAATAATAAACATTACGTCTCTATATAATAGACTCGGAATTCGGTTAGATCATTTAAATCAAAAATAACAAAATTCAGTTTGGCAACATTTTGTGAAGAACAAGTATTCTCGGATATCAACAGGACCGTATTATGCTTTAAAATTTTAAATTGCGTAAGTTATTTTCTTAAAACGTTTTACCAATGTTGCTCAAATTAAAAGAAAAAAAAGTATGATTTTAAATAAAAAAGCAGGTATATGTAAATTTTTACTGTTTACCAAAATTAATAAATCTGGAAAGTCATATAAGTATCACATCTAAAAATATATTAAATCAAGTATAAATACTACGGTAAATAAAGATCTATTTATTACTTATAAATATATGTACTATACGTCTCACGTTGTTTGATTTAATGTGTCATATGCATCATATGCTAAATACTTAAAGCTGATCCGCATCTAACTGCTTAACTTTTGCTCCCCATAATCCGAGAGGTGTGGGAAACAAACCACATTCCAGCGGGCTGGAAAAAAGGTAACACTATCAAGCTTCCAAATAAAGGCAACCTCACATTGTGCAAAAATTGGAGAGGAATAACCTTGCTTACTGTCATAAATAAAATTTTCACGATCATCATACTGAAAACATTAACAAACAAGGTTGAGTTTCGAGCTAATCAAGCAGGCTTTAGACCAGAATCCTCCTGCTTAGACCACATTAATACTGTGAGGAACAATCGGTTGAATGGAACACACCCCTAACATGGTTTTTGTTGATTTTGAACGTGCCTTTGATAGCTTGTCTCACGCTGCTGTATGGAAAATTTTAGAGCTAAGAAATATCCCGCAAAAAATAATTTCTATTATAAAGTCACTATATACTGATGCGAAATGCAGCGTGACACACAATGGGATCAACAGTGACGAATTCGACGTACTTACTGGAGTTAGACAGGGATGCGTGCTTTCTCCGTTTCTTTTTAACATAGCTATAGACTATGTTCTCTCCAAACTAGACTCTGACACAAGAGGGATACATTGGACGTTATCGAAGCCAATAAAATAGGTTTGAAAATCAATACTAGTAAAACCAAGTCCATGAGAATAAATGCAAGGAACAACACGCTATTTACTATCGACAATATATATATATATATATATATATATATATATATATATATATATATATATATATATAGATATATATATATATATATATATATATATATATATATATATATATATATATATAATCAATAACCCTTCTACCCTAAGGTGTTGGGTGTAAAGTCTCTTTTAGTTTTCATGTACAAACTTCCTCCATTTCTTCTTGTTGCTTGCCAACTTCTTCGCTTGTTCCTTGGTCACTCCTCTCCTGTCTAGGATGGCGGCAATTTCATCGTCCCAGGTCTTCATGGGTCTGCCCCTCGGTCTTTTCAAGGTTCTTCTCGCTTCCCACACTTGTTTCACTTGGCTTTTTTTATCCATCCTTACCATGTGGCCGTACCATCTCAGTTGGGCTTCTTCGATTTTCTTCTCTATTGACTGGACTTTAAGGCGTTCTCTTATTTCATTGTTCCGTATCCTGTCCATTCTGGTCACCCCTAGTACTCTTCTTAAATACTTCATTGATATACTTTGCAATTTACTTTTTAGTCTGGTGGTGAGCGTCCAGCTTTCACATCCAAATGCTAAGATAGGTACAAAAACTGTGTTGTAGATAGCTATCTTTGCTTTTTGGGATACTTCTTTTTTCGATAGGAATGTGCTCTTAATTGCGTGGTATATCCGAGAAGCGTTTGCTATTCGATTATTTATCTCTGCTTCTTGTGTACCCTTACTCTCTAGTTGCACTCCCAGGTATTTGAAGGTTTCTACTTGTTCTAAAGTATAGTTATTGATTTTAATGTTTGTATGTTGGTCTGTTTTCCCACATACCATCACTTTGGTTTTACTTTCATTAATTCTCAGATTGCGTTTATCTCTCCATATTTGGAGGTTTCTCTTAAGTGCGTCCTCGTTTCTTCCAAATACGACGAGGTCATCTGCAAATGCGCACTCCGCAATCTGTATCATTTCCAGGTTTCTATGTTCAACAAATAATCTCGATGTTTCTTCTCTAGTTTCCTTCATTACATCATCTAGTACAATATTGAACAGGATGGGGCCTAGTACACCTCCTTGTCGTAAGCCATCATTGACTCTAAACTCTTCTGATTCCATATTATCTGTTTTTACCCTGTTTCTTGTGTTCTTGTATAGGCTCATAATAGCTTTTCTGAGTTTGCCGTCTACTTCTCTGTTTCTTAGGCTTTTGTCTATTTTAGTTCGCGGGGTTCTATCAAATGCTTTTTCGAGGTCTATGAAGGCTTGGTATAGTTCCGTACTTGTATTTCGTGCATTTTGTATTAGATACTTGAGTGTAAAAATATGGTCATGGATGCTTCTTCCCTTCCTGAAACCGCTCTGTGACTGCTCCAGCTTATGGTCTACTTCTTGTAGTAGTCTTTTCTCCAGTACTCGTTCGTAAACTTTGGAAGGGATACTCAGGAGAGTTATACCTCTGTAGTTGCTGCATTCTCGTCTGTCACCTTTTTTGAAAATGGGTAGAATAACGCCCACTTCCCAGTCTTTTGGGATCTTGTTCTCATTCCATGCTTTATTGCAAACTTTTCTAAGCATTTCATTTCCATTTTCTCCCATATTTTTTAGCATTTCCGCAGTTATCTTATCATAGCCAGCTCCCTTGCCTCTTTTGAGCCTGAGTATTATTTCTCTTATTTCTTCTATTGTTATTTCGTTTTGGTTTGGGTTCTCAGATGTGTTTTCTTCAGTGTTGTCTATTTCATTATTATAGTATTTTTGAGTCAGAAGGTATTCGAAATATTCTCTCCACCTGTTCATAATACTTTCGTTCTCGCAGAGGATGTGGCCATCTTTGTTTTTAATTTGTTTTGGTGTTTGTTGTCTGTTCTCTGTTCTTAGGCTTCTCAGAGTAAAATAGTTTTTGGTTAGTGTGGTAGTCTTTCTCCAGCTTATTCCCAAAATCCTCCCAGCTCTTCTTTTTTGCTTCAATCACCATATCTTTTACTTTTGCCCTCTGTTGTGTATATTTTTGATAGCTTTCTGCATTCTGGTTCCCTAGATATTTTTTCCACGCTAGCTTCTTGGATTTGACCTCTTCTTTTATTTCATTACTCCACCAATTCGTACATTGTCTGTTTTTATTGATTTTAGCTATTCCGCAGATTTGCTTGCCCCCATCTAGGAGAGATTCTTTAAGTTTTTGCCAAGTTTCTTCTAAGTCATAGTTCTGGTTTAAGTGCTTTTGTAGACTATTGTTCACATAGCTTTTGTATTTCTGTGCTATTTTCTTATCTGCTAACTTGTATGACCTAATAACTGCGTTGGTAAGGTTTCTTGGGGTTCTGTCTCTTTTTCTTGGTACCTTCTGTGTGCGTTTTTGTTCCACACCGATACTAGTTCGGGATACTACCAGATAATGGTCGCTATATATTTCTGCTCCCCTTCTGACTCTGACATCTTTGATACACTGTCTTAAGGGTCTGTTTACCAATACATAGTCAATAATGGACTTTTCTCCTCTACTCTTGACTTCTCTGGTATATTTGTGCACATCTTTGTGTTGAAAAAAGGAATTCATAATTATCAGGTCATTCTCTCTACAAAAGTCTATAATTCGTTGACCATTATTGTTTCTTACTTATTCTCCGTGTTGTCCTAGTACATCCGAGGATTCTTGGTCTTTTACGCCTACTCTACCATTGAGATCGCCAATTATTATTATGTTACCTTCTGCGCTATCTATGATCTCTGTCGCCTTTTCCCAAAAAATGTCCTTGGTGTTCGCTCTTTCAGTATCGTTTGGTCCATATATAACAAAGATGTTGACTAGTTTCTTCTCTTCGGTTGTCATTCTAATTTTTAGGATCCTTTCGGTAATACATTCCCAATCTTTAATGCTACTAGTCAAGTTTCTATTGATGAGACAACCAACTCCTTCACGTGCTCTTTCTGACGGGGGTGCTCCACTGAGTATTAAAAAATGGCCATTTTCCAGAAACTGTGTGCTCTTACCTTTTCTTTTGGTCTCTGTGATCCCTAGTATGTCTATTTTAGCCTTATTAAATTCTTCTACAAGTTCAGCCTCCTTGCCGTTGAGACCTCTTACGTTCCATGTTCCTATTGTCCATCCTTCAGGTATTCTGGTTTTTTGAGTTGTCGTTTTCACACTTTTAATCTCATTGATTACAGTTGCTTTGTGTATTTGTAAGCGTTTCTCATCTTCTTTCTTTTTTACGTTTCCACACTGGTCTTTGTATAGTGCTTTACTACTATTCATGTCCTTGTTCATTTCCTGTTTCGTCATCGTTTTTCCATTGCCGTTTTTTATTAGTTTTGTGGTTTATCTATCTTATTTTCTTTATTATTCCATTTCCATTCTTCCTTATTTACCCACAATTTATTTGTGCCAATCTTTACGTCGTTGCCTTTATCTATCTCTTCTCGTGCAATCATTCTTATAGTTTTTTGTATTTGTCTTTCTTTCATTGTGGTGTCGTTGTTGATATATATTTTTTCCTTGTGGTTTTTTAGCTTGTACTTGTTCTTCATGACTTTGATTTTTTCTTCCTGATCTTCTAGTTCGATCAGACAGGTTTTTGTTCCCAGCTTATATGCATCTTTGATTTTAACCTCAATTTCCATATACGGTATAGGTAAAAGTTTATGGTCGGTATGGACCTTACATGAGATGGAGTGAGAAACAACTGTTTAAAAAGAGAGAGATATATTAGGTGTCCGCCTTTTACATCACCGAACATAAATGAGTGAATATGGAAGTGGATATAATAAAAAGGGGAAATTCAACGTTGCCAAACTTATTGGTTTTATTTGACCTGTTGTCTTTTTCGCATTTGAATAATGCTGCAAGATAATGAAATTTGGGC